AGGGTGAGGGGAGCCTGTCTGCCAGTCTGTGAGGCTGCTGTTTTCCCCTCCTCTCCCACCTCTGGTTTTTTTTCCAACTTGCTTTAGGATTAGTCTCCATCCCTCTCGACCCCAAACAGTGGAATTTGGCTGTGCCTTGGGTCGTCTTTGCTCTGCACTATCGCCTATAGTTGTTGGCGGTTTTCTGCTGAGGCTGAGCCGTTAGCCCCAGCCTCCGACTAAACTCATTAAGTTGGGAGATTTTTTTCAATTGGACGGGTGTTTTTAAAGTCTCCTCTTTCCAGCCCCAAACAAGGTGTAACAACGCACTCTTCCTTCTAAGGAATGAGATGAGAGACAAGGATCACTCCAGACATCTCCTACCTACGGTTTGGGGTTTTTTTTCTTAAAGGCGAGGCTTGCATTCCTCAGCAGCTATGTACAAAGCTCCCTGAAACCTCGTCTCTCTAAAGTTACTGTGCAGGGCTTTCCAAGGCTGAGAGCGTCTGATACATGGGGAAGCACTTCCTTGAGGTGGAAGATCTTTCCCTTCACCTTTCCTCTTTTTCCCTGCAGGCTAGTGCCTACTTTTTATCAGTTTGCACAATCGCTTAGATAAACACCGAGGAGGAGATTCTCTTTAATTATCAAAGACACATCTTTTCAGGGGGCCAACAAAGCGGTTTATTTCACCCGCCAAACTAAAGGAGAGTTATTCCTGTTTAGAAGGAAGATGCAAGCGGTTTGGGACCTTGAACAAGGCAAATATGGTTTTGGTATGTTTACTTACAGTATTTTTTTTCTCTCTCTCTCTCCTTTCTCACTTTTCTCCTTGTGCTATGTGGGGTTGGGGATGACTTGGGGGTTTTAAAAAAAAATCGGATTGCTAACGTGTATGAAATGCCTAGGACTGTGGTTTAAGGGGTTCGGGGAAGGGGAGACAGTCAATTCAATGCATTGCCATATTTTATTACATGTGTGTGGTAGGAGAGGTGGTGGAGGGGGGAAGAGGGGGAATATACAATTGCAAAGCTGCCAAAATATGATTAAACCGAAGCGTAAAGACTGCGGTGCCTCCCATCTCCTCAAACTCATTTCCTTCGCTAGAGCAAACTAGAAGCCAGTCCTTATAAGCGTGTTTTTCCAAGCATCAGACGACTCGGTTTTCTAGCAAAGGAGCTGCTAGGCTCGCACTAAGTGTCAGAATTTACTGTTCGATTTGCCTCGGCGCTGCATTTTGCAACCTTGTGCCACTGACAGCCAGCCAGGCAGGGAGGGAAGACAGCGCTGCCCGGCGCCCTCGGCCGCGGCTCGGGGAGGCGAGCGTTCGGTTAAGCTAGGAGGAGAATCGCGAAGAGAAGGGTACTCACCATCGGGCGGGGTGGTGGAGCTGGCGTGCGAATTTCAGGCAAACGTTTACCTTTTTGCTGTCTATTGCAACCGCGTCGGGCTGACTTAAGCAATTCTGTGCTCTATCCAGAACGTTCAAGGAACGGTTCCTCATTTTTAAAAAGCCAGCGAGAGAGACGACAGAGACAGAGAAAGAAAAAGAGAGGAGGGGGTGAGGGGGACGCACATAAACCCAGTTCAGGAAGGAAAAAAAAAAAAAAAATCATCACCTCTCCGCCAGGGAATCGGGAAACGCAGAGGTAGCGAGATCTGAGTCCGGTCCAACCAAGTCAAAGCCAATTAATTTTAAATCCTGAAGAATTATTCAGATTAAAATGTACAGAAGTTTCATTCTGCTATGCCTACGTGAGCTCAAAGTCGTTTCCCTTTAAGAGCTCTTTTCTTTTAAAGTTGAATTTTAGGCAGCGAGGACTCTTACACTAGGGGGCAGACAGATACTGTACTAGCTCCAATCTTAAGCAATTTTTTCCCTCCCAGCATATGCTCTGATTTAGCACTGTAAATTTTTCAGAGGACCCAACTCTGACAGCCCCTGGTGATTTTCAAAGTACCACAAGCCAGTGGTTAAAAATTGCATTGACTTGGAAGTTCAGAGAGACACAATGGAAGCCCCTTTCCCTATTCATGGAGCTCCAGTGTGGTGGAAGAGAAAAACACACACGGACTAGATTGAGGGGAAGGAGGATTTCAATGAATCCTGGTGGACAGAACTGGTTTCTACTGAGTTCAGAGTTAAACTCACCATTTGCTGGGGTCTGTATTCATATTGTGATTTAATTTGTGGAGAATTACAGCCACTTTCTGCAAGAAAATCATATTCCTGGGTGGGTTTCCCCCCCACACACACACAGTTAAACAAATGTTTTTTCAACTTTCTGGCCAAATTAAAGCTTGCCATTCTTCTCATTAAAATAAATTTACATCTGCAATAAAAGACTGGGCTGGATTAAAAAAATAACAACATATTAATATTTATCTTTTAGCCTTAGAGCTGTTTTATTCAAAGAATATGAGCATCTCTGAAGAAGACATTTTAAAACCTGCTCCCCTCTTTTTCATTCTCAGTCTGCAATCTTCTCTCTCCTTCTATACAATAAAATTAACTGCAACTGATAGTCATTTTTTTCTTTTTGTTTTTTGGCTTTTTAATAGCACCCCCATAACTGAATGAGTCCTAAGATACAGAGTAAAACACCTCTGACTCTATAGCAGCCCTGAGGTCATATGCCTAGCAGACTCCAGAGCTGTTGAAGATGGTTGGGAAATCCTTCATTTAAAATCTGAGGCCATCAGAGCGTACTTCAAATACCAAAAATCTCAAAGTGGACGGGGGAACTCTTGCTCCTCAAAATTTTCCCACTGCATATTTGTAGAAGGTTATCTTGTCATAGAAGCGCCTGCACCCAAGAGGCGACTTTAGGGTTCCTCTGTAATCAATTATTCTTATCTTCTATTAAATTGAGATAAGGATGCCCATTAGATTTTCTATCTCAACCCCAGCCCTACCACATCTTTGCTGAGTTTGCCCCTAATCTACTGACATCTGTAGCATTAGGCAATTCCTCCTCGAATCATAGAGATTGAAAAGAAAAAGAAGAAAAAGACACAACCTTCTCTGAAATGATTTCTTTTCCATCCTTCTTGTCCTCTTTAGAAGAAAATTATATTGTATCTATAATCAACCTGAAATTTGCTGCCTGGCTTCCCTCTACGGCAATCTCATTACACACCAGGTTCATGATAGTTCAGTGTTCACTGGAGGTTTAAAAAAAAAAAAAAAACTTCCAAATAATCCCAGCACCTGCAGCTTTAGTGAAATATCTGATTTCAGCGGAGAAAGGGTGAGGGTTAAGAAGGTTTCAAGAATGAAGCAAGGAGGATCTTTCCTGCCCTAAAACCAAGCCCCTCTCTGCCTACATCTTCCTGTAGTTCTTACCTTCTATTCTGCCCGTGTTTGTAAAGGGTATTGAATACAAAGTACAATCTACACATGTCAATTATTTGTACAATTTATTTTTTAAAATTCTTCATTGCCTCGATTTCTAAAACTATCAAGGATGCTTTCCTGTGGTCATTAATTTACTCTTTATGTGTGTTCATGCTTCCTGAGGCTCACCATGCTTCGTGTAAAATATCTTGTTCATAAACCTGGTTGGATTACCAGTCCATAGATTTCTCTTGGTGCAAAGAGTGTACGATGGAGTCGCAATTTTGTTCTATAAATGTTGAATAGTCATGATCCACTAGCTGGTCAAAAGCGAACAGAAAGATTACTGTGTTGGAATATAATGTGTTCTGGGGGACAATTCTAGATGTTTGATGTTTAAAACCAAATGCTCCAAAATTCAGAGATACAACCGGCTTGATGATTTTTAGCACATTGAGCAGAATGGCACAGGCAATGAAGTTGTTCTCATTGCAGCGAATCTCTTGAGGTAGAATATGGTTTGTGCAGTGATTCCTGTGAATTGTACTTGGTATTATTGCCAATTTGGGGCAGAATCTCTGTGTGTGTTTTAATGACTGTATGAATGCTTAAAAGGAACTTGAGGAACAATGAAGTCCTACTCAACTGTTCTATGACCTAGGAGCATAGTCGCTGAAGTCTTTGTCTGTGTACATTGACAAATGTGCATCTGATACATGTGCGCTTACATGTGTGTACAGAGGGTACGCACAGGGGACGCTGGAGGCTGCGTCCACTTGTCCATCAGCCGGCAGAAAGGTCTTTTCACCTCTCCCCACGACTGGGTGTGTGGCAGGACGCTCGCTGGCTTGGGAGTTAGCTGAAACTAACGAGAGAGAATAAAGTTGAACAAAATTGATTTTAATTGCGTCATGACAATGAGATGAAGTCTACTTCGGCTTCTCAGCATCTGAGATGCTTTATTTGAGCAATTAAAATGTCAGGCCACATACCTGTGAAATGTTAACCCTACATGGACAAAAAAAAAAAGAACCACTGAACGGCTTTTTTTCTTTAAAAAAGAAAGAAAGGGAAAAAAACACCAAACCAAGCAAGTGATCAGACTTGAGTAAGGGAAGGGTCTACCATGCACCCGGATTTGACCAATTGGTTCATTTGGAAAATGCCTGCCAGCTGGGCTCTAGGTACCTTCCCATCCTCACCCACTACCCCTCTGCAAAGAAACCGGGCAACTTTTCTCTTTCTCTGGCACCGCGGGCACCAAGACGCGCCGGGAGTCCCGGGTGGTGCGCGAGCTGCGGAACCGGTGGCATTGCCAAGTTGTGAGAATCGAAGTCCCCGATTCCATCCAAAGCCTCTCGCGGAGCCTTTAAGAGGCGTCGTTCCGTGCGCGCCGCGCTCCTCTCCCCGCCGGGGCGGAAACCTCGGGTGCGGGGTGCGCAGAGCGCGGTGGCCGCGCGCCAGGGGACGGCGCGGGCCCATCCCCCGCCTGGCTGCGGCGGGGGCACCGCCACCNCAGTGGCTTCCCTGCTGCCCTCTAGTGGCCACATCCTGCAGTGCCGCCCCTTAGCGCTGCGTCTCGGCTGGCTTCAGCATTCCTGGCTGGTTGGCTGCAGTCTAAAGTGAGAACGCAGGCAGGCAGGCGGCGGCGGCGGCGGCGGCCCAGCGCCAGGACGACGCCGCGCAGCGCCCGACGCGGACCACTTTCATGCTGATTCCCCCGGACCCGGGCAGCGCTCCGGCCACTCCGCGGGCCGCTGGCCTCCGCCCCGGCCTGCCTGGCTCTCTGGGCGCGCCCGAGACCGGCGCCTCTGCTCTCCGAGTCCTCCCGATTTCGATGGCTTTCCTGAATGGCTGACTGTGGGCTGCCCTGGACTTGGCCCCCGGACAGTCGCCTCTCCTCCTCCTTCTCCTCCTCCAACTCCTCGGCTACACACCAGCTCTGAGAGCGAGAGAGTGAACGAGAGAGGGAGGGAGAGAGTGAGCGAGGAAGATCTTTGGAGAGATTTTTTTTTTTTTTTGCCTCCTACTTCTGTCTTGAAGCCAGACAATCGACTTGCAGCTCTCCCTCCCCTCCCAATCTCTCTCTCTCTCTCTCTCTCTCTCTCTCTCTCTCTCCACACGTTCTGCTCCCACTTGCTCTCCCCCGGCCCCATCCCCTCGCCTCCCCTCCCCGACGGAAAGCCCCCCGAAAGCAACAGAGCTGAGCTGAGAGAAACAAACAAAACAAACACACCGGGCCAGACGAGCAATCGACAAAACTTTGCAAAAGCAGAAACAAAAAAGGAAAAACTAACCAACCTCAACCAACCAGCCCCCCCGAGCCACCCGGGGCGCCCTCCCGCGCCCTCTCGCACCCTTTGCACACACAAAAGGCGGCGCGCCGGAGCCCGAGACCCGGGAGCCCGCTGCCGCCCGCAGCCAGGGGAGCAGGAAGTCCGGACGCGGCCCCCATAGATATGGCAATGGTAGTCAGCACGTGGCGCGACCCCCAGGACGAGGTGCCCGGTTCTCAGGGCAGCCAGGCCTCGCAGGCGCCGCCCGTGCCCGGCCCGCCGCCTGGCGCCCCGCACACGCCACAGACGCCCGGCCAAGGGGGCCCGGCCAGCACGCCGGCCCAGACGGCAGCCGGCGGCCAGGGCGGCCCTGGCGGGCCGGGCGGCGACAAACAGCAGCAGCAGCAGCACATCGAGTGCGTGGTTTGCGGGGACAAGTCGAGCGGCAAGCACTACGGCCAGTTCACGTGCGAAGGCTGCAAGAGCTTCTTCAAGCGCAGCGTGCGGAGGAACCTGAGCTACACGTGCCGCGCCAACCGGAACTGTCCCATCGACCAGCACCACCGCAACCAGTGCCAGTACTGCCGCCTCAAGAAGTGCCTCAAAGTGGGCATGAGACGGGAAGGTATCGGCCTCTCATTTCTCCTCCCCTCGCCCGGGGTCCCGGGGCCCTGGGTGCGTTTGGCTAGCCTGCTCGGGGTAAGGACACAGACGCCCCAAGCTCTTCTCTTCGTATTGCAGCTGAAAGGGGGTTTTTATACTAGAAGCAAGTTCTACAGTGGAACCCAGACCCCCCCCCCCCCCAAATCCGCATGCTTTGGCCGACTGATTTCCTCAACTCTCTCTTCGGGCTGTTTTCATTTCCTTTGCATTGATGGCCAGTTCATTCGAGTTCGCCTTTCTGCAAGGGATGGGGAGGTGGTGTGGTGGTGGTGATGGTGGTGTTTTAAAGCCTGGTTTACTTCTCTTTCCTCTCCGTTTCTCTCTCTCTCTCTCCTTGTTTTCCCTGCATGTTCAACATATGTCCCTCCTCCCCACCCCTCTCTCCAGCCCCCACCCTCTCAAAAAAAAAATCAACCTGAGATTGTACTTTTTGTACAGGAGGTTCAAATTACAAATGGCAATTTTATGCACTTCGCCGTATTAACGCTGCCGCCCGGGCAGCGCTCATGTGACCCTCCGTGGATTAACATTCGGCTAAAAAAAAAAAAAAACCTCTGTTTTCTTTTTTCCTTTCACTTTTGAAAGGAGGAGAGCGCGATAGGGAGTAGGAGCAGGGTGGGCGAGGGGCCTGGAGCGGCTGCTTTCGCTCTGCGCGAGTTGGGTCTTTGTGATATGAAATTCGCCGAGCGCCGCGAGCCCTGCTCGGCCAATGGCGCGCTCAGCGCCGGGCGCGGGCTCCGGGTTGCGGCGAGCGAACGCCCGGGTTTCTTTGTGTTTCTGCGAGAGCGACTCTCCCCGTCCGGCGTCAGATAACCGCTCGTGCCTGAGCCTGGCCGGCCCTCCCCGGCCCTCTCGGGCGGCGCCGCCGCCGGCCGCCGGCTCCCCGCCTCTCGCCCGGCTTCCTCTCGCCTCGGCCGGCCTGTCTCTCCGCCCTCTCTCTTCCTGCGAGCACAACGAGTCGGCTGCCGCCAGACCTTGGCTCTCGGCTCGGCTCTCGCCAGGGGTGGCCCGCGGGGCCGGGACTGCGGGCTTGGGGGTCGGGGGGGGCGGGTGGAGAGCGGTGCTGGGGTGGCCACAGGCCGTCCTGCTTGGGGCCGACCCTGCCGGGGGAGCAGGGGGAACGAGGCTGGGCATTAACGGCGGAGTGTCTCCTTTCCTCCCCGCAGCCGTGCAGAGGGGCAGGATGCCGCCCACCCAGCCGAGCCACGGGCAGTTCGCGCTGACCAACGGGGACCCCCTCAACTGCCACTCCTACCTGTCCGGATATATTTCTCTGCTGCTGCGCGCGGAGCCCTACCCCACGTCGCGCTTCGGCAGCCAGTGCATGCAGCCCAATAACATCATGGGCATCGAGAACATTTGCGAACTGGCCGCGCGGATGCTGTTCAGCGCCGTCGAGTGGGCCCGGAACATCCCCTTCTTCCCCGACCTGCAGATCACCGACCAGGTGGCCCTGCTCCGCCTCACCTGGAGCGAGCTGTTCGTTCTGAACGCGGCCCAGTGCTCCATGCCCCTCCACGTCGCCCCGCTCCTGGCCGCCGCCGGCCTCCACGCCTCGCCCATGTCCGCCGACAGGGTGGTCGCCTTTATGGACCACATACGGATCTTCCAAGAGCAAGTGGAAAAGCTAAAAGCGCTGCACGTCGACTCCGCCGAGTACAGCTGCCTCAAGGCCATAGTCCTGTTCACCTCAGGTAGGAAGGAGCCCTGCTCCCTCGTGCCTCCGGGCTCCTAGCTCAGAGTTAGGGCCTAGAACTCTTGGGAGCCCCCAGAGCCGGTCCAGGCCACACTGTCGAGGGAAACTTGGAATGGGAACTCTGCCTAGTGGTGGGGCCCCGGCAGGCCTGTCCTGGGGAGAGGAGAGGAAGGCTGGGCCACGGGAAGAATGCTTCAGACTGTTGACTCTCTCAAAATGGGCCATGGGGAAGCCTTGCAGGCCTGGTGCCCGTCCACCAGACTAGGATGCACGCTCCTGTTTCCTCCCTCACCTCAGGCACTCTGGGCCAGCCGAGCGGGAATCTTTTCCACCCCCATGGCTCTCTCCGTCACCCGGGCTGAGCCTCCGGGAGATGCCTGTAGGCACTGGAACAGTCCTGGTATCAGGCCCCCAGGGGAAGGTTTGCCCCTGGCGGCAGGGGGAAAAGTTTGCCTGCTAACTCAGTGCGAGTTGGAGCTCCAGGCCTGGCCAACCTGACAGCAGCAATTTTCAAAAGCATATTTCTTATTAAAACAATGCAGACTGTCCAGAGAGGGGAAAGAGCTGTCAGGAAGGGGCAGGAGGAAGAAAGGGCCCATCATCACTCTTCAGGATGTCTGCAGGGGGTTCAAGACTCAGGCCTGTCACTTCCCCTGCCCAGGCAAACACTTAAGGCAATTGTTAAACACCCCAAAGTGTGTGCAACCTGGGCTGGATATGAGTGTTGCCAGAGATATAAAACCATTAGTGACTGCATTATGAAATCTAATTAGTTTGCAGGTAGTTTAACCTGAGTGAGTAATAGATCTAATATTAATTAACTCTGGAGGTCAAATGATCATGGAAGGTGTCTGGCTTACCACTTTGGGCCACACCTGAGCCTTTTGGCTGGCCCCCCAGGCTGAGCTCAGCAGAGCCCAGGTGGGTGGAAATCACCCCTTCCACATGCTTGTTCCGAGTTGTCAGCTGACCCCCTTTGTCATGGCTGAGAGAGGAAGGGGGCTCCCAGTTGAAGATAACAAAATTTGGACCAGGGTAGGGCTTGGAACCTTGTCACCCACTGCAGGTTTTGCAGCTTGTAATCAGGACACCAGGAGAGCTGAGGAGTTCCTGTAGCAGACAAAAAGATCCACAGTCTCTTCCTTATTGTTCCAAGGAAATCTGGGGACCCAAGTCTTGGGCTGAGTCGGTTTTAGGTTCTGAGTCCTTAACCCACTTCCTTATATATATTGCTGCTTTTTGCATAAAATCCACCCCCTTCACCGCCACCCCCAAATTCTGCCTTTGAAAGTCCTTAGGTAATCAATTAAAGGGCAGTGTCTGGGCAAGGAAGGGCTCTATGCAGAGGCTTGGATCTGGATTATTTTTCTCGGGGGACCTGTCACAACTAGAATGGTTGCCTGATGCAAATGTACAGACAGGATCGTCCCATAACCCAGAGTCACCTTCAACCCTTCCTGCAACCCAACACCCAGCCCATGTTCCCAGACCATCCAGGCGGTGGTTCCTTTCTTGAGCTCATTGTTAGCTCTTAGACTTACCTTAGTCTTCCAAGGAAAGAAATGCCTGATACTCTTGTAACAGTTTAATTTATTAGTGTTTGTAAAATGTATAGGCCTGTGTGGAGAATGCAGATCGCCTCACAAAGAGATAAAGGTCCCTGTTATCTGATTCTGAGAGAGACAGTGTGCTTGTGGAGAGAAGGAGTCCAATGCAAACAGATCTTTTAATTTCTGATCACAGATACCTATGCATTCTGTAAACATGCAGAGCCCTAGAGCCACACATGAGGAGGTTGTATGTGTGTTCTGGTTCTTGGGGTGGACGCAGTGGCGGCTTTTTTTGAATATCTACTTTAAGGATTGACAATATGCATGTGTTAGCCCCAGTCTTGCCTGAGGAGCCCCCAAAGGTCAGGTCACAACCTGCACCGCCTTCACTGAGAAGCCTCTCATTTCAAAGGCACTTATTGTATTTTCACATATCCGAAAAAGAAACGTGTTTTCCTGAAGATAACGGGGAGGGGGTTTCTTCTCGGAGGGACCTGGGTTTACAAAAAAAAAAAAAAAAAAATCAGGGGGGTGGGTAGGAGAAAAAGGGAGAGAGAAGAAAAGGAGGGAAAAGAAACAGCTCAAATGAACAGAGAGATCACAGTTTGCATGGCTGCCCTTCAATAGGCTAAACTGACAAGATCAGTTTTAAAGGGCCACTTAAATCAGTTTCAAAGACTGGAGAAAAATGAGTCGCCCTCTTTGGGGAGAATCTGAGGCTGGGTCGTGGGCGCCATTACCGGGGCTGGGCCAGGTTGTTGCCCACCCCCCCCCCACTATATAATTATAAGCCAAACTATTATTTACAGAGGAGAAGGGGTGGAGCACTGGTAGTTTTGGTTTCATCTGTTTGTCAGTCTGTTTACTGACCTGAGCTAGATTCACCCAGTGCACTTTGCTTGGGCCTCCCGGTCACCAAGCCTGAGGACTGGGACATAGAAAGCCTGCAGTACGCTGAGTTGTGTTCTGTTTTAAAGCTAATATCCCAGGACCGTCGCACACGGTGCCCCCCTCCCCAGCCCCCAAGTTTTCAGTCCGTAGGCATTTGCTCCAGCTCCGGTTGGGGCAGTTTGACAGAGCACTGTACACACACTTCATGTGACCCATTTCAAACCTCTTAATCTGATGACTGAATTCTTCGTCGTCTTCTTTTTTTTTTTAAACTTTCTTCCAGATGCCTGTGGTCTCTCTGATGTAGCCCATGTGGAAAGCTTGCAGGAAAAGTCCCAGTGTGCTTTGGAAGAATACGTTAGGAGCCAGTACCCCAACCAACCAACACGATTCGGAAAGCTTTTGCTTCGCCTCCCTTCCCTCCGCACGGTCTCCTCCTCAGTCATAGAGCAATTGTTTTTCGTCCGTTTGGTAGGTAAAACCCCCATCGAAACCCTCATCCGGGATATGTTACTGTCTGGCAGCAGTTTTAACTGGCCGTATATGGCAATTCAATAAATAAATCAATCAAAATAAGAAGGGGGAGTGAAACAGAGAGAAAGAAAAGGCAAAAGACTGGTTTGTTTGCTTAAATTCCTTCTGTTAAGAAAGGATATAAAAGGATGTTACAAGTTTGCTAAAAGAAGAGAGGGGAAGAATTTAATGGACTGTGAATTTCCAAAAAAAAAAAGACTGTCGAATGAACTTTTACAGAATGCATTAAAAAAAAAAAACTCCTGTGTCGGTCAGAACAACTTGCTACTTATCATTTTTGTATAAAAAGGAAATTAGTCTTTTTTCTTTTTTTGGTAAATTTTGGAAAAATATTGCTAAAAGTGCATTTAAGGAGATTGGGAGAAAATTAGCAGAATGGAGAAAGTAAGTCTTTTTTTTTTTTTTCCAAATTATTAATTGTCCTGTGTGTATGTACCTCTAGCTGTTCTTTTTTGTACTTTTCTGGTTCCAAACCAGTTTATTCTGTGGTTCTATAATAAGTTTTGATATAATCTTGGCTTCTTAAAAACTGTGTATCCTTAAAATATATGTTCTGCAAGAATTAAAACTGAGTCCATGAAAATATCATAGGAAGACATAAAACTTTAAAAGGCAACTCAAAGATGATGGAAACGCACTTACAAGTGGTGACCAAAAATTTTAGATGAAGTTGAGCACTCTTAATTTGAGAACTGGAGGAACCACATACAACACTTAAAAACTTCCCCTACCCTGACCCACCCCCCACAAAAGACACCATGACAAACCTAGCTTTTTAAAAATATTTTAAGAAAGAGAATGAACTGTGGAATTTATTGGCAGCCAAGGAATGTGTCCAAGACACATGCTGAGGTTTTGAATAAAAAGTGAACTTTTGTAATTTGAATTGGGTCCCGCTTAGTTCTTGAATTGTTATGAAAATCCTATATCTGTTTGTATATTTGCAAACCCTTTGTATTATAATTGTTGATATTTTCCCTTTTTAAAAAATACCATTGAAATCAGCATGACAAAATAACACTGTTGGCACTTATAGGTAACGTGATTGATTCAGTATCTTAGAGTTTACAGTTTGTGTTTTAAAAAAAAAACTGAAGGTTTTTTTTTTTTAAGTGCAACATTTCTGTATACTGTAAAAGTTATAATAACTGAACTGTTTGGTCGAGTCTTTGTGTGTTATATTCCAAGGAAATTGAAAGTATTCAGAAATTAAAATATTATTTGATATCTGAAACCTGTTTGGCTGTCCCCACTGTCTTTCCATCGAGAAGCCCCTGTGAGCTAGCTCTCTCTGAGCTGGGCCAGGGGTTCGCTCTATTTGTTCACTTCCCTCAGCCAGTTTGTTCCAAGGTAGACTAGTGTATTTGCCTGTTTAATTTGGGTGTGATGGGGTGGGGGGAGCTGAAGTTAATGGTTTATCTATGGTTTAGGAAGTGCCATACTGATATAGTAAACCACCCCCATTCACCTAATCCTTCTTTTAATTAAAAATGGATTTTCCAGGAAAAAAAAAAAAGGCCCTTATATTTGTCACACTTAAGTGCCTGCTTAGGGAAGGTATTGTGAAAAGTATTAGAAATCTTGAGATCAGTATCTATTTTATGATCAGGAAAAAATACTGTTTTGTACATTTCTGACAGTTATGCAGAAGATGGTTCAAGCAAGCTAATCCAGTCTTGTCAATAGAAGGCAGTTGTTTGCAATGAGTTTTTCCTTAAGTAGGTGTGATTTTTAAAAATATTCTGTGGTTCTCATCTAGGGTGGTTGTTGAGAGGATTTCAAATTCAGTGCTGTAGCTTAGAGTGGCTGAAGGGTTTATTTTTAATGTATATATGATAACTTGCAGTTGGCCTGCCTTCCCCTCCCCCCCTGTACGTTCCTTCTGTGAGAGCATGACCACAGGTCAAGGGAATCTTTTCCATTGGAGTTCTGTACATAAAAACACAGCGACATTCTGACATTTCAGATTGTGTAGATACAATCTGTACTACTCTTGGGATCCTTTGTCCTTAAAAGCCAAATTAAGAAAAAGAAGAGAAAGAAAAAGAGAAAGAAAGAAGGAAACTTTATAGGGTGTGTGGATTTGGAAGTATTAACTATTTTGTTTTGGAGGTTTGTTTGTTGTTGTTGTTTTCTTTTCCCTCTTTCTCTTTTCCTGGTTTGAAGGAAGCTCAGTGTGTGGGAGCTTGCAATTTTTGTTCTTACTGAGGCTTTGCAGCACCCACACCACCATCATACATCACTGTGTTGTGGTTTGATTTTAAAAGGGGGTGGTGGGTAAGGGGATGTGAAAGAAAAGGGATCATTTTGTAAAGTGTATTAAACTTTGATACTCAGTTCCAGTCAATACATGTAGACCAGAAAAATCTGTCTGATTTGTGCATCTGAGCAGAGTTCTCCATCTGACCCTCAGCTTCTTTCTGTAGATATATACATACATAAAATCTAAGTATGTTCTTATGACAGAACATTGCTGACCTCCAGATTGAGGTTTCATAGGTTGTTGTTTATTTTCTCCTCTTTCAAGTGCTATCCATGTGAGTGTGTGAAGTTTTCTCTAATAAGTAAAACACAGGCCCTTTGCCCTGTTTGTTTTGTGTTAGTTTATTGTAAACAGCCATTTGTTGTAAATTATTATTGGCATTAAATTATAATTTATGATTTTCAAAGCAAAAGACAGTCCCTGTTTTATTCTGCTTTAAGCATGTGTTCTAGACGTTGGAAATCTCTCTCACTCTCTAAGTTTCAGCAATGTAGCTTGGGATCTGCGAGGCAGAAAAACAGGACCCCAAATTTTTCAAACGGTTAAAACAAAACCCCTTGTATATGTTTAGAGTGGCCGGAGGAGGATCTGTTTAGAGTCTTGAGTTTGGTTTAAGTTTATAGCATTTAAAGAAAGTTTTTCTTTTCACGCTGAGTTAGAACAAAAGATCTTTGCTGCGACTGAATTGGACAAAAGACGAGGGCTGGGACCCAGCGAGTGCGTTCTGTGTGAAATTGACGAGATCTTTTTTAAAAAGCTGCTAAACATGGCGACTCTTTCCCTTTAAGTGTCTCTTTTTCCTTGCTTTTTTTTTCCCCCCCCCCCCCCACCTCCCCATCTGATCTGAGCTCGCTTTATTTCTTTTCCCAACCCCGCTGCCCCTCCTCCTGTTGGTACTCGGGGGTGGGGGGTGTGTGAGAGAACCCAGTTAGACGCGAAATGCAACAATGGTCCGAGGAGAGAGAGAGAGAAAGGGGCGACCGCTGCTTCTCGCCACTCTCAAACAAACCCGGGGCAGACCGAGCTGGGGAGGGGAGTGGTGATGGTGGTGGAGGGGGGTGGGTTGCGGAATCCTAGCCCGTGCGCTGGGCTCGCGGTCGCCCGGCCTCGGCCCCTGAGCAGCGAGTTCTCGCCAGGGGCCGGGGCTCAAAGTTCGCAGGCGGCGCCCGGGGCCGGCCCCGCGGAGACGGGATGCCGAGGCAAGCATCCGGCCGGCCGCCGGGCCGGGGGCCGGGAGCAGCCGCAGGAGAGGTGCCCCCGGCTGCGCGTGCGAAACTCGGCCGCGAAGCCCCGCTCCCGACTGGGTCCTGTGAGCGGAGCCAACATGGCGTCTCCCAGCGCGCCGCGAGCGCCGGGCTGCCAGGCGCGGCGGGGCCGGCTAATGGGAAACACATTGGGTATCCGAAAGGGGGAAAAGAAAAACGGGGGCGGGGTCGGGGGGGGCCTAAAGGCCGCTGCTTCTGCGGGCAGAGAACCCTTTTTTCAAACTCTCCCCGGCGAGTGAGTGCGGGCCTCGGTGGTGCCTGTCGTTAGAGCGGCAGAACTGCGAGGGGACACGCTGGTGACGCGGTGGCCCCCTTCGTGCGCCCCCCGCCCCTCATGACCGGGAGAGGTTATTCCAGGTCTGCCCCCTCAGCAAGGGCCGAATGAGAGAAAGTCGGCCTCCGCAACCGCTGGTCTTCAATGAGTGGTGGAGGGGGAGGGGGCGAGGCCATAGGAACAGCCCTCGGTCGGTCGTCGCGCTCGTTAATGTAGGGGCTGCAGCTGGGGGGTCGCCCCGCGAGCCCCTCCGAGTTGTTGGGGTGGGGGGTGCGGGATGGTGGAGTGTGGGGACCGGTCGGCCATCCCCCCCCGCAGGACGTGGGCACAGCTAACTTGCTGCTTCCGTGGCAAACTTGGAGGAAAGGGGGCTTTCCGGGTGGAGGGCAGGCTCCGGGCGAGGGGGGAGGGGGTCGCAGGCTCTAGAAACGCACGAGGAGGCTCGGACAGCGACCCTGACGGGAGCGCTTCTGCAGGGGGGCTGGGGTGGGGTGGGGGAATCTCCTTTATCGAACAGGTTTGAGAGCAGGGGAGGTCGGCCGTGGGACAGATCCGGCCGCCCGTAGAGGGTCTCCCGAGGGCCTCTGCAGAGAGTCTGGCTTGGGCCCGGGCTGAGCTCTCCGCCGCCGGGGGGAATCGCCCCTGAAAGTCCCACTGCAGCTCCAGCCCAGGCCTGGAGACCCTTACCCTCAGCCTCCTGGGAGGGGAGCGAGGTTCCTCTCTGAATTCCGGGCCTCGTCAAGATTTATTGAAGTTAGGTTTCAAAAACGTGCTTCAGATGATTTTTTCCCATTTTCTCAGATTTCAAAGGCTCCCTGCAGTGCGGCTGCCTAATTAATGGTGAAATTCAACTAAATCTAATTATGCAGTAATTTTAAAGCAGTTAGTGCTGGGCGTTGGTTTGTAATAGGACCCCAGTTTTTTAAAGTTTGCTTACTGTGTTGGTTTAGGAGAAAGCTATCTTTTGTATGGCAAAGAAAGAGGGGGAAATAGTTTTCCTGCGTGAAGGCCTGAGACCGCCCCCCACCCCCTCCATTTCCATCCCCATTTCTATCTATCTATCTCCCTGCCCTTCTCGCTCGCTCTTTTTCCTGCTGCCAAGCTCAAGCTGAAAGACTGAGCGAGGTGCTAACCCAGCCAGGGGACCCAGTTTCATAGCCAAAGGGGAAAGGCAGAATTTTTCACAAGGAGACACAAAGGGACTTGGTATCTGCCCTCCTGGACGCATCTGTAAATGCCCGAAAACAGGGAAGGGACTCTCATCTCCTCTAATAGAGAACAGATTTCCTCTCTTTAACATCCATTGTCAGTAAGGGGAAAAGCTGACTCTTGGAGTTATAAATCTTATCGTCCTTCTGATAACAGACTTGTAATAAGTTAGCGTCTTATTCAAAGTGAACTGTAAAACTGCCTCATTTAATATGGCATCTGTGTCATTAAAACTTTTCCATTTTTTTCCCCCTTGCGTCTTGCAGGCCTGGCATTCGGGCAAGCCCTGAGGTGCCTAGTGGGCCTCTGGGGTTGGACCGAGAGGGAGAGAGGTGTGAGAGATGGGCTGCCTGGTTTTAGCCTCTGGATCTCAGTCTGGGGGTGAGAGACCCCTGAGACACAGAGGACCTGGGTGGGGGGGGTGCTGTGTCCCCCTTGTCCATTCCCTGGGGCGGCCCCCTCGAAATGACGTTCCTTGAAAGAAACATGCTTGTGATTAGCTAAGCAAACACATCTGCTTTCGGAGTTGGGCCTTCGTTAATTAGCTGAACAAAGGGCCGTTTTGCTTTTTACCTTTTGCTGGGGGAGAGTGTGTTATTTCAGGAGTGTCGCGGGCCCTCCTCTTTTCAATTGCAGCCACGACGTTAATTTTATTGGGATTACTGATGGGAAATGAGGTGGCGCAGGCTTCCGAGAGGAAAAGCTTGATCATTACCCCCTCTGGAACTATATTTTTCCACCCAACCTCCTGCTTGCGAGGAGGGGGTGGGGGGCGAACTGCGCAGCAAGTTCGGAGCAATTGGAATCAGGCTCGCCGTCCGCTGATATCGGGTGACAGAGCGTGTGTGGAAGCTGAACTCTGTAATTTGCGCTTCTGTTTCTTTATTAGGCCTGGACAACGAACTAATGAGCTTTGGCCCAGCACAGTGTCACTTGTATTTATTTTCTTAGGGCAACTTTGAGGTAGCGGAAGTGTTCCTCACCAAGAGCCCGGGAGGGCCAGGAGCCCTGACCGAGACTGCCCTCGGCCGGGGCTGGTGGCCGCGTCCCCGGGGAGCGAGGAGGCGCGCAGCACTGCCGGAGCCCGGGGCCTGGGCCTTTAGGTGAGGCCCTGGGGCTCTCAGGAAGGGTTAGGCCCTTTGGAGGCCCAGGCATTCCCGCAGGCCCAGCTCTCTGAGATCGAGGTCGAGGGCCGTGAGGCCAGCCTGGGGCAGGCCCCCAGGCGGGATGACGGTCAGAGGTGCAAAGGTGGCGTGGCTTCCTCCTGGCGCCGGACGGAGGAGGGCTCCACAGGCCGAGCAGGTCGGGCCAGAGACGCCTTGGAGCGAGCGGGGCTCTCCCGCCCCTTGGCCGAGGCGCCTGTCTGCTTTGTGTTGAGGGAGGCCTGGCTCAGCTCTCTGGCTAACTGGTTGGGGGGTGGGTGGGGCGGAGGGGACGCTTTGAAGGCGCTCTCGGAATCCTGAAGTGCCGGGGCTTCCCTGCCGCCTCTCCCTGGCTTGCTCCAAGGAGTGTCAGTTGGAGAGGCCTGGGATACAGTCTAGGAGGAGTTGGGGGCTGGGGGCCGCAGAGGGTCAGCGGAGGCAGCGCGAGCATCCCTGCGCTGCGGCTGAGAACACAAGCCCCCCAGGCGGAGAGGGGGGCGGGGTGCGGGGCAAACGGGAGCCCAGGGAACTGCGAGGCGAGCGGGGGCTTCTCTGCCCCGCAGCCGGAGGCTTCCCGCGGCTCCCGCCTCGCTCCCCGCCATGCAGCCCCGGCTAATAACGCCCAGGCGCTGTGCCCCCGCCCGCCCCGTCTCCCCTCGCCCCATCCCTCTGCTTTTTCTCCCCCCTCCCCACCTCTTCCTTCCTTCCTGCAAATGGGTGTTAACGTGGGTCTTTATGTTCTGTCTATAACTAGGATGTAATCACGCGCCCCATGCCTCTCTCTAAAAGCATTTAATAAATGTCTATTAAAGCGCTACAAATGTAAGATGAATTTAGTGGCGCGGCTGCCTCCCTGAATCCGAACGGTAATGATGGATTTATCAACGGGGATTCGCCTTCATCACAGCAAGGGAGGTTTACTCAGCAAATACGTCGGCGAGCACCCACCCAAATACAATCATTTGACCCCCTGCGGGCATTAGCCACCTCACCTCTTCCACCGCCTGCTTAGGGGGGTGGGGTGGTTGGGGTCGCCCGAGGCCGGCGCCGCCGGGAGGACCAGAGGGGCACCGCCCCTCTCCTGGCCTCCTGCCCCTCCTCTGTCTCCTCCGGGCCTGCGGGTCTCGGTCTCGCCTTTTGGACGAGCGGGGCACCCGGCTTGCAGGTTTGGGTTTGGGGAGTGGGCGATGGCAGTGTTAGAGCGCACGAGGAAGTGTGGGCTGTCTTGGTTTTGCCAGGTGACATCAGTGAGCGCCCTTTCGCTCCTCTCGGTTTTGAAAAGAGAGCAATTGTTCCTGCGAGTGGGCTCTCGAGTCCCCAGCCTTCGAGCACATCTTAGGTCCTCGGATCCTCGCTGGGCCCTGGACACCGTTCTAGGAGAGGCGGCTCCAGGACAGAGGCCTGGGCCGCCAGGCCCTCAGAAGGCTCCGGTGTGCCCAGAGTGGGTGCCCGGCGGGCCTGCCTTTCCAGGCTCCCCAGACCAGCCAAACCAAAGCAGAGGCGGCTGTTTTCCGAGGTTAGGATGGAGCCCCCAAGGCGGAGGGCAAAACTTCTGAGTGTCTTTCCCCTGAACAGGTCTGGCTTCTCTCCCACCTGCCCTGGCAGAGCCCACCCGGCCATTTTAAAGTTTCTGTGGCTGTGGGTTTTATAGAATTTGGTTTGGACTGTGATCATTAACGCGCACAAACCCCAGTGACCACCATCTCTTTTTGTCTTTTTATCTTTCTTCTCGAGAGGGGAGGAAAAGTGCTGGCCTGTTCCATCAAGCCCGGTTCGCATTTGCTCTGGCCTCTGATTTCTCTTTCTTCTTTGGAAATTTCATTGAGATGTCTCTGTACTTCGCTTGTCAGTTATCTTTGTTCCTTTTAAATAAAGGGCTTTTAAATGGACTTATTGCTCCCAGCGTGGGTTCCTCTCTCTAAATGTTAGAAAATTGTGCCATCTACCCGCTATGCTGAGTACTGTCACACTCGGAGACCTCGGGGACCTCCGGGCCGGCTTCAATGCCGCCGTGTCAGGGGCCGCGGGCAGCTGGCGGAGGGGGCGGCTCACGTGGATTTTTGCAGATTTCCGCCAGCAGCCGGCCCGCGTGGCCTCGCCAGAGCCCGGCCCGCCCCGCGCGCCGCCGCCGGCTTCATGGCGGCCGCGAACCCGGGGCTGCGGCCGATCCCGGAGCACATCGCAGGCGTGGTCGGGGCTCTCCCCTTCTCCCTTCCCTCCTCCGAGATGCCCCGGGCCGGGAAGGGGGGCGCCGGCGCTGCCTGTGGACCGGAGCAGCCGCCGGGGGGGTCGGGGATGACAGCGGACAATGCGGGGAGGCCGCCGGGGAGGGGCCGCGGGGGGACTTGGCCGCGCCGCTTTGGAGCGCTCCTGCCCGCCGCCAGCCCCCCTCTCTGCCTCGGGGAAGCCGGGCCCAGGCCTGCGGAGAGCCACGGCCGCCGACCGGCTTCCCCGCCTCGGTGAGCGAGAGGGGAGCTCGGGCCAGGCAGTTCGCTGGCAACTTTCAGCTCCGTTTTCCCCGGTAGAGAGCCTTCTGTTGTCTTCTAGAAGGCCACTCACTACTTGCTTTGCTTCAGGGGAGTGTGGTTTAGCTGAACCGAGTTCGAACAAATCAGATGTCTGACGTGGGGTCTCCTCACCCCGACCCCTCCTCTGCAAAAACCACAGGTTCTTTTTGAATGAGTTAAAATGGATTAACAGTTTAGATTTTATTATGTGGCTACCCTTCTCAGATGCCCTTTTTTTTCTCTCTTTCTTTTTTTAGCCTATTAAAAGTATTAGCTAAGATTTCCAAGTGTCAGTCGGGTATTTATGCTAGTGGAGGGGGGGGGGGGAATCTCCGATACGGTTTATGACTTTTATTACATGTTTCACACTGTTCGAGAAATGGAGTTTTAAACAACATACAATTAAATCTATATTGCTCTTTGGAGAAGGGCCAAGGAACTCGACAATCAATTAGTTTAGATATTTTGATACTTGTTGCTAAAATCAAAGTGTAAAACCACCACCCCAAGGTAAAGCTACTTCTCCATTTTTCCTAAGGTCATGGAGCTACCACATAGGAAATGGCAGTTGCTTTTTTCCACTGCAGGCTGTTTTTCCTGATTACTCTGCACAGATTGGTCTTTTTAAAAAAAAATTCAGGTTCTTTTCCGTGTTTTTTCCTCCCATTTCTCTCTCTCACTGCCATCTCACATCTCCTGCCTTTATCAGTCAGGTTTAGTTTTAAAAAACATTTAATTTGTATTATTTGAAAATGAGTTGCCTGCTCACCCTCTTCATCCCTCTCTCCTTGCCTTGACACTAAGAAGGGAAGCCGGCTTGTTTAATAACCACAGTAATACAGTGGTTTCCAGACAAAGACAAAATTATGTTCTTTATAACTAGAACATGACGAGAAGAGGGGACTCATCCTTTCTCTATCTCTCTCTTACTCTGTCTCTCTCTCACTCACACTTCTGTCTCTTTCAATAAGCAGTTGAGGAAATAATCTGCATTGAACAGAAACTGCTTCCTTCTTGAAAATGACAGCTTTTCCACCTTCCTGGCTCTCTCTGGACCAATCCCCTCGACTGCCTAGTGGCAGTCTGCCTGTCCTTGGACCTGGCAGGGGCTGGGGGTGCCTATGGAGACCTGGAACATCGTGAGAAAGTGGGAGGTCAGCTCACCTGTACGGTGCAGCCGAGGCAGGGCTTCTAGCGGGTTCCAGAGGGAAGCTTGCTAGTTTATTAGACAGTTCTTACTTCCCCTTAGCATCTTCTCCCCACGGACACCTCAGGTTCTCTAAAGGAGGGGTGTCTGAGGTTTTGCATCTGTCCACCCACCCCACCCCCGCCCATTTCCTTTTCTGCTTTCTAGGCTGGGCAGCTTTTTGCCAGCTTCATGACTGATTTGAAAACCCTGTGGCTCTTGGGATTGAGCAGGCCAGTCCGTGAACTGTCATCTCCACCAGGATGGGACATCCAGAACCTCCGCTTCTCCAAAAGAAAGGCTCTGAATCCAGGGAAGGGATGGGACGGGATGCCATTAGCCTCCCTGCAGAAGCCTTGCTCTTCCTCCCAGGGAGTGAGGACTCCTCCCGGAGCGGAGAGGGACCTTTGCCTGGACTCAGCGATGTGGCCTTGCGGAGCCTGGGCCTCCCGCTTCCACCCTGCCTTGCGCCCACCCCCATGCCGCGGCCCTAATTGTGAGGAAGGTCTGGGAAACATTTTCTCTGTGCTAATTTTATATTTCCCCTTTTCCCCTCACAACATTAAACATAATTTTGCGCTGTCAGTGTCACTAAGATTGCGGTTTGTTGACGTCTCTACTTGGAAACACGACCCCTCCGCCTCCAACGGGGAGTCCTCCCTGCGTAGCCTCTGGGAGGCCGCTTCTCCACCGAGGCTTTCAGGGTTTCTGGAACACCCTGAGAGAGAGAGAGACTGCAGTAAAGGCCATAAGGGTCCCTACCAGAACCCCGCAATCATTTCAAATCCCCTCTCCCTGTGACAGCAGGAGCCAATGTGTTTTTGATGTGTGTTTGGTTGTTGGCTTGTTTGTTTAATAAAATCCCTGTGTGTGTTTTACTGTCTCAGTGTCTGTGACGTGTAACCACAGCCACTCCACTTTAAAAATGTCCCTTTGCATGTCTTTTCTGTTGGTCTGTTTTAGTCTGTCCTTTGCAACTTCTTCCTGTTCTCCATGCCTGCCCCTTCCCTCCGCAATATATTTCCTTGGCCTTAGCAGTAATCCTCGGGCCCACCGGCCACGTTCCTGGAGATGAAATCCATCTATCCCCTGTGTTGCTCCACCGAGGCCCAGTTATCTGGGGCTTTTGGTGACAAGAGCAAGAGAGAGGAAGACACTTCTTATTTTGAAGGGCCTGCTCCTTCCTTTCTTCCCTGTGCCAGCCCGGAGGGGCTTGGGACTTAAGCAGATGCACCTAGGGTCTGCAGGTTTGCTCTTTGTGTCTGGCCGTGGTTCTGGTGACTTCTCCTCTGTTTTCCTTTTCTTTGGAGGAGCTGCTAGCTACTCTGCCCTGTCCACAACAGTGTTTCCGCGCCTGTGTGCACCACGGCTGGTGGGTTTCAGGGCGATTATCTCATTTCGCTGGTGCAGAGCGAAGCGGCTTGCAGCCCCTGGGTCAGGCATTCAACAGAGGGCCCATGTCACAGACCCAACCCAAAGGTTAATTTTCCCTCATTAGCATGTCCATAGTTTGCTTCTAGCCCAGGAGCTGGGTCCTCTGGGCGTCACCTCCCGGCTTCCCTCTAAAAGTCTCTGGCACCTTCGCTCGCTCTCCTGAACCTCTCTTCACAACCTCACGTTCTGCCAGGTTCCTATTGGGTTCATGGACTCTAATCTCTGAAAACCCATCTCACCCATTTTCAGACAGTTTGCCTATTTTCATCCTAGAGCCCTGGTCTTCCATCCACCCCTCTCTTTGCCCCCCCCCCCCTTTCCTCTAGGCACCTCATTTACAAACGGATTCTGCTTTATTTGAATTAGTTCACTTCTCCTCTTTTACTTTCTCCCCCTCCCCTTACCCTTTCATTCAGGGCTAGTAAAAGCAAAAGATACAAAATGGCAAAGTTCAGCTGCATGTGGTGGGGTGGGGGGAGCCAACCATCCCAGCCACCTAGAAAGAAGCTGAAGGTTTGTAACGACAGAAGAAACAACAAAAGAGAATTGCATTTGCGGCTTAAGTGGGCGACTGTGTTTGTGTGTCTATATCTGTGTGTGTTTTTCAGATTTCTTTGAACTGCTTTTGTGCTGACTCGACAGAGACATTTGCCGAAGCTAGTCACGGTATAGAAACTTTGAGTTAACCTCTTATATCAAATGAATCTTTTCATTTAGAGACCAATAAATCTCAATCTCTAGCTACCTTGTGTAGACCCAGCCTGAGCTCAGTGAGACAAGACTGGGGCTTATAATAAAGACCAGATAAAGTTTGCCAAAGTTTTTTTTTTTTTTCCTCCCCCTCTCCATTTTTTTTTCTCTTTAACCAACGTGAAAAATTCCCCCATCTAACAAATAAAACTTCAGGGAAGTAGCAGCTTTTCCTCAGCAGAAGGTTGGGGATTTCTTTACCTTCTCACAGCAAGCCCGTTGACTGAAGTGGTTTTCCGAGCTCAGACACTGAAATGATTTATAGTTTTTCAACAAGTCATTATTTTGGTGTGTTGTTTAGGTGGGGTTGAGACAATCTAATAATCCATGTAAGATGGGGGGGAGGGGATTGTCAGGCACCAAGAGGAGAGTTAACATCAGAAACATGAAAGCCAGTCTGGTCTCCGGGGATAGAATTTGGGAAAGAGCCTGCACACGTCTGCTCCTGGGCTATAAAGAAATACATTGTTAACAACAACAAAACAGACAATGCCTTGAGCTCTGCCTTGATTCAGAGCTGAGCTACTTTCAAGATTTTTTAGCAGCACTGTTCATTTTGATGGGGTTTCTGGGCCATTTGAAATTCAACCTTTAGCCAGCCTGCTCATGGGGTATGGTTACAGAATTCATTTTCTGATTTACTATCCCTCCTCCTGTATTTTCTTTATTTCCTGATGGCCTCCCATGGGGCTAATCTTTTTTTTTTCCTTTTCTTTTACATTATCCAGTTTTGTTCTCCCCACAAACGACTCAGTGTTTTTCCCGTTTCTAGTGATCACTCATTTGCTTCCTTTTTCTCTTTCCTTCCTTAAGAGACAGAGGAAAATAAAGAGCATGGGAGGGGGATTTCCAAATCATTCCTAAGTGTTATTAATTACTGTTACAAGGCAGGCGATTCTTAACTAATAACAAAGTTGTAAATTACCCCTGACTTTCAAATATTTCTCATTTGTCAGCTCTGATTGATTTGATTAATATTCCATCCTTTGAAATAATTTTAGCTGCACTTACAGTCAGCTCTACTCATGAAGCAGGGAGCAAATCATCACACTCTCCCAGGACCAAGCCCCTCTGCTTTTATTTTCAAGTGAAGTTTTGGTTTCCATCCTGAGGTCCATGATTCTCACTGGAAAGCAATGCTGGAAAAGCTCATAGGCAGTTAAACTGCAGAAATGGAGTGGGTGGGGGGACGGTACCTGCATATGTTCAGTGATTTATGTGTAATTTTGAAAACGTTGTTGAGGAAATTAATTTTATTGAGACAACCAAACAGCCTCATTTTCTAGTTCTCCTAAACATTGTCCCCCTCCAGATTCAGGCTGAAGGAATGGATTTTTATAGGATTCCTAAACACAGGACATTCACCCAGGCCAAGCCCAATTTCTCCTTATTTTTCTCTACACCTTTTCTCGGAAAGACCTGGTCTACCCCTAGTCCACCCAATCAGAGATAGGGATCGCTGCTGGGGGGAAAAGGTGTATGCTGAGCGTTAGGGGGTGGAAAAGGCCAAAAGGGCTGCCCAGAGGAGAGCACCCTGAAAACCCCACCCTTTGGGAAGGGGGTTTATATTTTCCAAAAGTCCTTTTCCCTTCCATCATCATATTCAGAATGCAATTTTTGAAGCTATCAATACCCGCTGCCTCCAATACCTCTGGAGTTTTCATCTTAATTATATTATTAAGTGAAGTACTGTGCTGTCAGGGAATTGAACATGATTTATGACGTCTGCCTATTAAAGGATCGATTGTGAATATCGTTACTATCATCTATCAATATTCTTAGGCCGGGGGTATTTCTCGCTCCACGGTTGTTACTTGTAATACCAAAATGATAGACTGCAGGATAAGACTATTTCTTCTTCTCAGGACAAGCTTTCCAGGTGCGGCGGTGAGTCAGCGTGGGGAGACCGGAAGCTCAGCGCGGCCCACCACGTCTCGCACCCAGAAAGGGTTTAAAGTTGTTTTTCTTCTTCTTCTTCTTCTTAATGTGAATTTTCCCTCGGGTCTAGTAGAAGAAGCTAGAGTTGTTTTTTAGAGAAAGAAGTAACCTCTGCTGGTCGATATCAGGAGCCGGTGTTTCCCAGCTGCCAGGTGATTCCCAATGAGACCAGAAGCGAATAGGGGGCCCTTTCATAGGAGTGTGGCTGGGTGGGGCAATCGGGGCGGGCGGGGGCAGACTGGATATTTCGGGAGCAGGTACCCGGGTCGTGCCGATGCCCTGGGCCTCGGAGCTGTTCCGTTTCTGGGATCAGTCGGGGCTCTCTATCCCGACCACCCCGACCACCTGCCCCGCCTAGGTGGAGGCGGGTGCGAAACGTGCTCGGGCCAGTCCTGCACGCGGAGGCCTTTTGTCTGCAGACAGAGCGCAGCGTCTGTTTTCTTCCATCCTCGCGGGGCACGGGCACGGGGTCACCGGCGAGTCTCAGCCCCTGGTTTAGAGGGGCTGGGAAGGGGAGGCCGTGCAGGAGGAAGCCAGGGCCCCCTTTCCCGGAGCCGCTTCGGAGCGGAGGCCGGGGCGCCACGGCGGGGTGGGGTGTGGAGAGCGGCCGGGCCTGCGCCCCGCTCCGGCCCCGGGGCGCGCCTGGGGCCGCGAGGAAGGCGGTCTCGGGCCTGGTCGCGGGCCTAGTCTCGGCGCGCCCCGCGCTCGCGCCGGCCGTCGCCAGGCCCTCCTCGCGGCCCAGTCGCCTTGCCTCCTGAATTCCAGCAGGAAGAAGTGGGCACATCAATGGAGCTCCTAGCCCTCCTCCCAGGCCGGAGGTGGGGGCCCCACGCAGAGCGTGGCCTCGCGGGGCCGGCCGGACGTGGGAGGGCCACAGGCGGGGCGGGAGGCCGGCTGGGCCCAGGCCTGGCTGCCCCGCGCGACCCCTCCTCTCGGGCATAAGGCGCCTTGGGGTCCCACCTCCCTGGCTACCTACCTGCTCCCTCCCTCCGGCCCAAGCTCTGCGGCCTACCCTAGACCACTCCGGGGTGTCCCAGGGGAAGGACAGTGTCTGGTACACAGTAAGCACTCAGTACATGTTAGCTGTGGCTCTTAGCCTTATCGGGCACTTCTGCTTCCTCCGTGAGCATCACCTCTCTCATACACGTTTAGTGCAGATCAACCACAGCACAGCCGCGGGCCCCCAGCCCCCAACTCGTACCTAGATGCCCAACAGCTGCTTCTGGCCCCTCTGAGCCCAGAGCCACAGCCGTCCACCCCTAACACCCGGGAAGAGCACCCGAGGGCCTCGGCCCTTCCTGCCTCTCGTAGCGTGTTTGTCCAGGTCTGAACCACCGTGAACCAGACACTGAGGCCCGAAGCAAGTGTTACCCGGTTTCTACTGAGCTCTGCCCGGGTCAGCGCCAGGAGATGGGAACTTCCATTAAATAATAACTTCCTGGGAAATGGTGGGGGTGGGGGCGATATTTAAAGCAAACAAGAAAAAATGACGACCTTCAGTGTGGGGTTTGGGGGTAGTAGGGGCAGGCCTAGACAGGAGGAGCAGTAACAGCTGAGTCAGAAGCATGGGAAGGACACCCTTTGCTTCCAGAAACACGTTCTTGGGTAAGCCTTTCATCGGCCTGGGTTGAGCGCCTGGGCAGAGCTGTCGGAGACCTGCTACTAAATATACATACGACACCTTCAGGCCGGATTTCATCTTACGACCCCAATTAAATATCACCCCGCCTTCCTGATTCTTCTTATTATCAATAATACCTCTAATATTCTTATTATTTGCAAACGACGTTTGGGCGGCGGACGTCCCCAGAACCTGCAGCGGGAGCCACGCCCAGGAAGGCGCTCACCTGCTGCGCGGAGCCCGGGACCTTGCCCCCGTCCGCGTCCCTTGCCTCCTCCCCACTCCCCCAAGGCTGACAGATATCCTTGGATGTGGAGCCCTTTAAAAATGACAAATGCCTTGTCAATACAAACCATCTCTCCCCGCCTGCTTTCTAATTTTTTTTTTTCCGGGAGCGAGTAGGGACCCAGGCGCAAGCCCAGCGGCGCGTATTACACGGCCTGCGTTGTACCGTAATCGCCAAAACCTTGGCCTAATTTACAGCTAATAGATCTCAAGCGAGGGAGTCGGGAAGAAATCAGTGGCCTAAGGAGCTAGATTGGGGCTTTGGAGGGATCGGAAATTAAGGGACTGGAAGGAGTATGTGATTCATATTATTCACCGCTCCCCCCAACACATACACACACACGCGCGCGCGCGCGCGCGGGAGCAGGCGCCTCCCGGCTCGGCCTTGGCGTCTCCGCTCCGCAGCCGGGCCCCGAGCGAGCTCCGCGCCGCCGGCCGGGAGCCCGGGGCTCACGAGTTCAAAGGGCCGCGGCCCCGAGGGGATGCCCTCCTCGCTGTGCCCCGGGGGGCAGAAGCGGACCGCAGGGCGGTGGGACCGGCCCGGGCCACGGTAGGAACCTCGAAACCTCCCGCTTCCCTAAGTAGAGCGGGTCTCGGGGGAGGGCGCCGGGGAGTTCCGAGCCCGGAGGGACTGTTTGGCCAAGACCGAGCGGAGGCTGAGCCCCGGGCCCGGGAGGGCCGTCCGGGCAGGTGCGCAAGTGTGTGCACGACCGCGGGCGAGGGCGGTGAGCTTCCGCAGGCCCCGCGGCGGTCCGCACACTGCGGGGTGACTACCGGGTCCCCACCTCCCTCCAAGCGGGGCGGCTCCTGGAAAAGCCTTTAATCTGATATTAAGGGTTTTCCGAAGTTTGATTCTTTCCAAAGGAGAATTCTTCACTTAACTGAATGTAAACATAATTAATAGTTATTTAACATGCAAAAAAAAAAAGGCAACCTTTATGGTGTTTAAAAGGATATTGCTCTCTCTAGTTCACACTCTTAAAACCTCGAAATCTGAAAATATCCTGATGAGATTATTAGACTTGATTATATGGTGACATCCCCCTCCCCTTTCCTTTAATGAAATTCTCTCTCCTGCCTTCCTCTCTTTCTCTCTTGTTTCTCTCTCTCTTTCTCCTTCTCCCAGTCTCAATCTCTCTCTAATCCAGGAGTCATTAGCAACACCCTCTGGCTACATGTTTTGCATCAGTGAAACATTGTGACATAGTTGTAATACAAACTCTGCCGCCTTGCACTGCATCTTGCGGTAGGAAGTGTAATAGCAATAAAAATCATTTTTCATCTCCAGGCATTATTCAGTGGGGGAAAAAAACCCAGAAAATCTGAATGTGAGAAGCCGAGGGGGAGGAAAGAGAAATGGAGAGAAGATAAAAGGAGGGAAGGAGAAAGAAGAAAAAGCTTTCCAATTTAGAGACTTCTCAGAACTAGAGGCACATAGATTCAAGCCTATCCTTTTCTCTGCTTTCCTCTCCTCTGTTTTCATCCTTGTCCCTCGGTGGACCCCTGAACCCTGATAGGAATTGTCTCCTAGTTCCCAGGGTCTCTCAGTTACTCCATTTGACCCCAACGTGTCATCCCTTCTGGTGAGAAAGCCCCAGAACTCCCAGGGGCTGGGCCACCACTTCTCAGCTGGCTGGGGTGAGGAATCCTCATTCAAGTCCTGCTAGGAAATTGGGGCCTCTTTCCCGTCGGGTCTCTCAGGAATCTTTCCTGGCTTGATGGAGAAGGAACAACCACCCAGCAAGCCAACGTGGCTATTTTCCTGATGCAGCCCTATAATTTGCGAGCAAGGGCCCTCAGAGAGCCCCCTAATCTTCACTGAGGAGTGCTGGTTACAGGGAGAAGGAGCATTCCCTCCTTTCCCGCCAGCCCTTTGAGAACTCACCCTGCCAACTCAGGGAGGGCAGAGTTTCCGGGAAGGACTCTCCATGTTGCCTTTGCCTGGGCAGGAAAATGCCAGGGCTTACCCACCCCCACACGCACAGTCTCCCCCCACCCGCAGTCCCCAGACCAACCATCATTCTATGTGGGACCCACCGAGTTCCTTTCAACAAAAACAAACTTGCAGTCAAAACTCAATTAGAGAAAGGTTCTGTACCTGCCTCAAAACAAAGAAACCACACAAATCTTCACGGGCCCCTAAAGTAAATACTCTCTACTTTTAACAGGAAAAAATCTTGTTTTGTGAAATATTTTACTAATCACCCTGTGTCTGGGGCAGTGAGCTTTGAAACACCAAATTGAACAAATACACATATAAGTGAGTTCAATTTTCTGTGTATTTTTAGTCGTGTGAGCTGAAGAGTAGGACAAAACTCTTAAGTTACCAACCGGATAAAATAGGGTCAAACTCGCACCTTGAAGAGAAATGCTGTGTGATTTGCACTTCTTGCTTTTCCTGTTTTCACTGGCCTACAGGTGTACAAGTCAGGGGCGGCATTTTGTGGTTATTTTGTCAGCAGAGCCGAGGGTTCGTGAGGGACAAGGTCCCAGTAGGCTGGCTACAGGCATGGCACAGCCCCTCTTTATGTCCATCTGATGAGAATGAGTGGATATGGGTGGAAATCGTAATCGGGAAGGTCTGACTTCATAAGCACCCACCTCCTGGGAGATATTCGCAGCCGCCACAGCTGAGTGGCCCTGGAACACACGACGGCCCAAATCCGTGGCCTCCGAGAGGACACTGCTCATTTATTTCATGTTTTCTATGAAAGCAACATCACCACTTAGACTCGGTGATGCTGTATCTGTATATTTGCTCCTCTTTCTCCTATGATTTTCCCTTTCACCCAGTGCAGACATTGCGGGGTATGTCGGTCACAGATCGGTGGGAAGGCGGCCTGTGCGTTTCGGCTTGTCTTCAAGTTTAGATGATGCAGGGAAAACTCTTGACGGTTCAGTGAGGCGGGAGGCTGCGCAGGGCGGCCGAGGAGTTCCCGTTTCCGCAGCGAGGTGGCGCTCCAGGGCGCGGCAGAGCGCCCGGCCGTCCGCGGCCTCGCTCCGGCAGAGACGGCGGCCTGCGAGCGTCACTCCCGCCGCCTCCCTTTTGCCTCGGCGCCAAAAGACGGGGTGCGCTCAGACCCGCTCCGTCTGCGGGTTCTCGGGGTGGGCGGAGGCCCAGGGCCGTGACCGCGAAGCTGGTGGGGTCGGGGAGCGCGGCGGGGTCCCGCCGGGGCGCGTTGAGGGCGCCGTGGTCCCGGGAGCCCGCGAAGTTCGTATTCGCAGCGGGACCCTGGCGGGGCCGGCGCGGCGGTGCAGGGTCCGCTGGCCCGGTGAGCGCGCGCGGGGTCAGCCCCGGCCCGGACACTCCAGAGGGTTAGGCAGCTCCTCCCCGGGCTTGGGAGGCTTCCTTCTTTTTTTTTCTTCTTCATTTACGCACATACATATATTTAAGAAAAAAAAATGCAGGAAAGAAAATCTAATGCTCTCCTTATTGGTTTGTCCCCAAACTAGGCAGTTTTCCAGTTTGATAGTTTTTTTTTTCTTTCTTTTCCTTCTCTCTCTTTAAAAAAAAAAAAAACAACTTTTCTTCCCTTTGGTGTACCCCCACACCCCCACTTTCTGTTCTGCCTTCTTTTTTCCCCCAACCTATTATACTTTTGAGAGCTGGTTCCTTGTGGGTTGGTGGGTGAGAGATTAACACTAGCTCCAGAAGACCCAGCATTGGGCAAATGATAGCAAAATGGAAGAAGAAACTATTTCAAATTATTTAACTATTCCCATCCACAAGATTTCGTTTCCACACTTGCCTTCCGTGGGTATCTCGCAGCTTTAAGTCAAAGACGACTGGCAGGAAATGCCTTTCACCCTGTCACTCTCAACCTGCGGTTATGGGGCCCATTAGAACCAGTTTGGAAACAATGTCAGAAATAATCAGTCATAAATAGTCACGGTGAACAGAAATTCTATCCTGCGTCAACTTCCTCTGAGGACTGCCCCTGGCTCTCTGGGACCCAGACTCCAGGCGCAGACAGTAGGCTGTGCCCTCTTCAGCATTTCGATTCCCGGGAGCCCTGCCCGGAGAGTTGCCCCTT